AGCAGGCGCCCGCGGACGCCCGGGGAAGGTGCAGGAGCAGCGAGAGGGCTTGGGCGCACACGCCCTTCAAAGGGGCTCCGTGGGAGGGAGGATGGAGAGAAGGTGAAACTGCAGGAGGGGCGGGAACGGCCGGCGAGTTTCTGGTCCCCAGGCCTTGCCTCAGTACGGAGGCGAGCAGGGTGAGCCCCGGGGTGCCAGGGGTTCTGGCTCCTCGACCTCCCCCTCGTCCTGAGCAAGTCCTGGGAGCAGCAGGGTTGTCAGGCGTGGAGCAGGTTGGACGCCGGTGGAAGCAGTGCGTGATGGGACAGCTGACTGCCATGATGGTTAGAGTGAAGGATGTGCTATTTCTGTCTGCAGCTGGGGACAGCGAGTCGGAGGAGCAGGGTCCGCGGGGTTAACCCGCTCTTGGCAGTGGAGAGGGGCTGGGCAGCCATCCTTGGGACAAGGCTAGGAAGTGGTACTGAAGGGAGATGTTCCCGCAGATAACGTGTGGGAGCCAAGGCCTCCCCTGAATGAAATTAGCAGGTGAGAGCGACGCGGCCCTGGGGGTTCTGCACCCCGGGACTCAGGGCACCGCCCATACGCAGCTCACCCTTCCAGAGATGGGGCTGAGGCGGACCCACTCTGCGGGGGCTATCCTGGGAGCCTGGATACAGGAGTGCACAGCTCCGCACTTGGGTTTCCTTACTACAAAGCAAGGGAAGGACCTGATGGCCTCGTGGGGACACACAGCCAACGGGCAGACGATGAGCACCCAGAGTGGCCCTGTGCCCTCTGGCCCTGACTGCGGAGGAGCTGTCCCCAGGACGCCGAGCTTTCCAAAGCTGATCGGCAGCTGCCCGTGGTGACACCCTGCGTCTCCCTGCCCGCAGCCGGTGTCTGGTGAGCCGGTCTGACCCACTTGGGGATGAGCCAGTGGGGCAAGAATGCTCCCGGAGGAGGGCTGTGGGTATTACCCTGGCAGGGTAGATGTTTCCAGGTTGGCAGGCTGGCACCTGCTTGGGAGGGTCCTGCCATCTGGGGTAACGTGAACCACCTGTGACTTTCACAACCTCTAGCTCCGCAGGCTGGAGAACTTGCTGGATGCAGTGTGGCCACAGCAACAGCCCTGCCCTGTCCCTCGGCCCCTCAGCAAGTGGGCACTGCCTGAGAGCTGCTGGGGCAGGCATCAGGGCGGGCTCAGCCCTGCCCACCTCCTCCACCTTCCCTGGGCCCCCGCCAGAGGACTCTGCCTACCTTCCACAGCAGGCCTCTTGGCTCATAGCCCTGTGCCCCCTCCTGGCCCCACACTCCCAGGGCCAGGGAGGTCAGGGCTCCATCTGGGTGTGGGGCAAAGGCCTCCGGGCCCTGCCATCTTCATGTGGCATCACCTGGTTGTGCAAGGCCAGAACACTGTGTCTGAGTGGGAGCTGGGAGGCTGCCAGCTGCAGCTCCTTCAGGGTAGTCTGCACCCCAGGGCTCAGTCAGGGCCTGGGAACCAGGCTGAGGAGGCCTGGCCTGACCCACCTAGGTGCCAAGTGCTGGCTCTTGGGTAATGTATTTGCCCAACTTCCACAGGGCACACGCCTTCGCGCTGGGTCCTGTCTTCCCAGGGTCCGGTCAGGGGCCAAAGGCAGATAGACAGAGGTAGGAATACTGGTGTGGCATGAGGTGAAGAGGTGCCAAGCAAGGGTTGCCAGGGCCACCATGGCAGGTGCAAGTGGCTGGTGGCTGTCCTGGGGCAGGTGCTGCCCTGGGTGCTTAAAGCTTGGACCAGGAGCTGACCTGGACCTGAGCCCCTGACTGCAGCCCCAGTCCAGCTCTGACAAGGTAGGTGGCTGCCATGCCCATGGGCACACCCACAAAAGCCCCCCAGGCTAGCACCCTGGGGCCAGTCACCCCTTCCTCCCGTGGTAAAGAGGCTCTCTGTGGGTGAACAGAGGCTGCACCAGGGTGGGGCCAGAGTGACCATGGGCAACGCTACTGCTGGAGATAGCACAGAGCTCTCTGCCACTACGGGCTGACAGCCTGTGATGAGGACAGGGTGCAGGGCATTGGGTCCCCACCCTGTCCACCCACCCACCCGGTCAGCAGCCTGGAATGACCCCCAGGGCACCCAAGCCCAGGACCACTCCTTGCACACCACGACAGTCAGACAAACCCACCAAGCTGGACTCAGGGCCAGGAGTCAGCTGTCTCCACAGCAACTTTATTGCCATTCTGCCCAACAAAGACTTCTACGCAGTCTCTGAGAGCGCTTCAGCCAGAGGGTGTATCCTGCTCAGAGCGGTGGGGTAAAGCGTGTGCCCCAGATCCCTCTAGCAGGTCCATGTGGAAAGGAGTGGCTCCCACTGCAGCAGGATGGCTGGAGGTTAGACACCAGGCAGCACTTCCTGCAAACAGGCAGTCTGAGACCTGTGCAGGCCCAGAGGTACCTGGAGGCAGGGCTCTGCCACAACCCTGCCCAGTGCTGTGTACGGCTCCACCAGGCCCGAGGACCCAGGAGCACCGGATGGTGGACAGGGCAGTGGTGGCAGGCTCCAGAGTGGGGCCTTCTGTTCCTGAGCTGCTGACTGGCTGGAACACAGGTCTGGGCTAGGTCTCAGCCTCACAACCCCAACCCCTGTTCCCCCCAACACTGCAGCCCTCCCAGCAGCACAGGAGCCCTGCCTGCTTCAGCCTCCCTGGACCCATGGGCACTCAATGAGGGGGTGTGGCCAGGGTACTCACAGGGCCTGCACCCTTCAGGCTCTGCAGCAGGGCAGCCACCTCCAGGTTCCCAGCAGCTTGTGCCTGTGGGGGTGCATGGGGGGGCCACTCAGGGCCCCAGCCCTCTGCTGTGCCTCCTGCTCATGCACACAGGGCCCACATCCCCCACCTTCTGGGCCTGGGGCCTGAGGCAGGGACAGGAGCAGCCCATGGGCTCCTGAGGGGGGCTGTAGGGAAGGGAGCTGGGGCTGTCAGGGTGGCCATCTCGGAGGAGACAGAGGCGGGGCACTCACGACTTGCAGAGCGCTGCGCCCATCATAGCCCGGCTGCTCCAGGTCAGCCCCGGCCTGGCTCCATGCCCGCAGACCTTCCATATCCGCTCTGGATGCCAGCCTGGGGTTGGGGAGCCATCAGGGCCTGCTGGGCACCCATCTGCCATGTGCCCCTGCTACCCACCCTTCCTGGTTCCTCACAGCCCCAAACGCACCACCCTGGGGCTGGAGTCTGGGTGTGGCCGTGGCTCCATCCACAGGATCGTGCACACTGACTGTGCCCAGCACCCCTGCCAGCTTCATTTCACAATGGGCTGCAGGCGGGGAGGCTAGGAAGGACAGGCCCTTCCAGGGGCCACTGGCGAGCCCTCATCAGGAGGCGTCTGTCTGCAGCGGTCCCCACAGCGGCGCCCGGTAATTTCTGGGTGAATCACACTGGACGCATCAGCCCCTCCCAGACCCCCACGCACAGCTCCCGCACAGCCAGCTCCCACGGCAACCCTTGGAGGCCAGCCCACTCCAAAACAGGGTCCCAGATGATCTGGCTGCGCCTGTTTCTCAAGCCATCAAGGCCCGCCTGGGGTAGACCCTGGACCAAGCTACCCCACAAATCCTTTCAAAGCAAAGGCCAAGTCCCACCCTTCTGGGGCCCCTGCACCCTCAGCCCCCCACGCTGCACATCACCAAGAAGCATCCACACCCTAGGGCACTGAAGACCAGTATAGGGGACCTGGGTCTCACCCAACCCAACACGTGGGACTGGAGGCTCTGGCCTCCAGAGCTGAGGCTCTTCACCATCCCCTCCCACCTGGGCTGACCAACCCCAGGGGTCACCCACTCTCTGGGCCTGGGCCACTCACAGCACCCACCCAGCCACACACTGCCCCCAGCACAGGGGGTCTCTGGCTGCTGCTATTCTTGGGTCCTCCACCCTCTTGCACCCCCCCATCAGTGCATATCTGCCTGCTGCTGTCCTCTGGGCCAGGAGTACCCTGAAAGTTTCAGGCAGATGCCCCTGCCTGTCGGCCAGGTGTGCAGCTGGGCATGGGCTGTCCTGCTTCAGCCTTCCCAGCAGGCCCGGCTCCCCCTCCAGCCCTGAGCCCACTCTGATCGCCCTCACCTGCACAGCTCTGTTCCCATGTCTTCCAGGTCCTGGGGGGACAGGTGGGCCCCGGCCGCTCGCAGCAGCTGGATGACACCCCGGTGCCTGGCACGGGAAGGAGTGTGCCAGCCATCAGCCCACCAGACCCACATGTGCTCCCTGCTCTTGGGGGTCCCCTGAACTTGGGACCCCTTGGTCCTGGCCACAGACACAGCTGCTGCCTAGCCTTTTAGCAAGGCCCAGGCAACTCAGGGTCCATTCTGGACCAGCACCTCCTCCATCCAGCCTCATGCCCATGTGATGACCTGGCCCATCCTGGGCATAGCACCTGGAGGACAGTCCTCACCTGAACCCTCTGCACCCTGAAACTGCCAGGCCCAGGACTGGCTCTGGGGAAACTGAGTCAGCTGTGCCCAGTTCTGCCCTTGAGGGAGGAGGGGACAAGGCACTGCAGATGAATGTCACCCGAAGACCAGCTGTCAGGACACTAGGCCGGGGCCCAGAGCTGTTTCCCGAGGCAGCCTCCTGTGCCAGGCCCTGGGGCAAGTGTCAGCCGGGTGGCCTGGGGGACAGTGGGGTGATCTGCCTCTGTCACCCCAGCCACTACTGTGCCCTTCCCTGGCAAGTGTCGGGGTGCACCATAAGGTCTGTGGCCACCCTACTTTTAGGGAGCACAAGGTGTCATGCTGGGATGGTCCCTAGCCCTCTAAGGGCTCCCAGGCCGCTCCAGCGTGGCAGGCCAGGCAGGCAGCCGTGGGGAGGCCAGCTGGGCCTGCTGTGACAGCCAGGGTGGGGAGGGGTGAGCCCACACCCAAGGGCACCCTGGAGCCCCTCCTGCTGTCCTGGAAGCCTCAGCTGCTCTGGAAGGGATGCTGGACCCTCCCCAGGGACGTGGCCACCAGCCCTGGACACTTTGACCCAAGTGCTGGTGTGGACATCAAGCCTTCCCCACAAAAGCGACCCCTGCTCAGTGACGGGGTCTGGGCACTCGGCCAGATCCAGATGGCCTGGAGGTCAGACAGATGTGACCAACCATGTCACTAAGCCATGGCGGCCTCTGCATCAGAGCTGGTGGAGGGCACAGCATGGATGGGAGCTTCCCCAAGGGCATGCGAGGCTTCCTCGGCACCCACAGGGCCCTCCAGGGAGGCTCAGCAGTGGGCTTTTGTGTGATCCTCTCCTGGCTCCTGCGCCTCCCCAGGGCATGCTGGCCTATAGGGACTCGCCATGCAGGGGCGCCTGCTTCCCCACAGTCTCGGTGTCCCTCAGGATCTGGAGCCCATCCCAGCCTTCATCTGTCAGCTCCACCTCTCCCTGCACACAGGCACACACAGCTGGCGGGGGTCCCCAGGAACCCCGTGCCTTGCCAGCGGCTCTCCTTTTCTAAAACCAGGGTTTGATCTCTGGTACTCAGGACTGGAGAAAAATAAAAAACAAACCAGGCCAGCCTGGCTCAGCCTTGAGGCCACCCCGGCTCAGCCTTGAGGCCACCCCCTCCACGAGCCCCACCTGGATCACCCCACAAGCAGCACTCCCCTAGGTCTCTGCCTACACACCACCGAAGTACCCAGGCCTGGTACCTGCCCCGAACAGCCAACAGCAGCGGGCTGAGGCCATCCTGGTCGCGGGCATTCACATCTGCGCCTCTGTGCAGCAGCATGGTGACCACCCCCACATGGCCCTTCCTTGCGGCCGCATGCAATAGAGTTTGGCCACTCAGGTCCTCCAGGCACAGGTCATTGTCCTGGGAGACACAAGGACACATGACCCTGAGAGAAGGCTGGACAAGGAGGGCAGAAAGGGCATCTGCCCGCAGTGGGCCAGTGAAGGGGCTGGTACCTCGGGGCTTAGCAGCTCCAAAAGCTCCTGCAGAGCCTCCAGGTCCCCTGCATGGGCTGCGGCCAGGGCCAAGCTGGGTGTCAGGGCATTCCACATGGCATCCACTTCCTGGAGAGGATGGTACTCCCAGTGCCCAAGCCATACTCAGGGGTCCCCAGAACCCTGGGGTAAAGGGCAGGCAGAGCCCACACATGGGGAGGGGCTCTGACCGCAGAGCCCCAGAGCCTCACTACCCACCTAGACCCACCTCACCCTCACCAAGCCTGCCTCACCCACGCCAGAGCCACCACTAGGTCTGTCCCTACTGGCTGTGACCCCAGCCTGCCCGCCCCAATTTCCCCTGCTAATCCTTGCCTGAGGGAGGGAGCAGGGAGAGTATAGGTTAGCGAGAGAAAAGGGCCACTCCACACTCCCCACCTTCCTGGAAGGCCCAGTGCTGGTCACCCAGGGGTTCCTCAAGCCCTCTGAAGGGGGGGTCCTAGCAAAGGCCACTCTACCCAGCACCCTAGGCTCAGCCTGATCAAAAGGCTGCTGCCAGCCAGCTGTGTCCCTAGAGGCATTCAGGTCCTGGGTCCCACCCTAATGAGAGGCCACACAGCCCAGGTCCTTTCATCTGGCTCTGCAGCCCTGGCAACAGCTCACAGTGCTGCCTGGGACAGCACTGACAGGCACAGGAGCCCAGCAGGCCCCAGACAGAGTGCTCTATGCCCCACACAGGCCTGGCGACTGCCCCCCTAATACTCTGGGTACCTGGGGTATGTGAGGTGCTCAGAGGAGGATCCCTGTCTGCAAGGACAGCTGTGGGTGGGCACCAGGGGCTGGACCTGGAGACCCCAGGCGGCCCACCCTTCACACCCAGGCCCTGCCAATGCCTGAGATACAAGGGCCCCTGGGTTCCGCCTATTGCAGCCCCTCCGCCTCCCAGCTCCCAGCCCTGGTCTGCAGCTAGAGCCGGGATGGGATAACAGTGCTGTAGCTGGCTCAGCCCAGCTGCCTCTCGCAATCTTGCCACTGTCCACACAAGCGCACCTGGCCACTACTCAGACCCAGGAGACAGGCCACACTGTGACCCAGCGTGCTGCCCTGCAGAGAGGACTGGCGCTTGTCCACCGTGGGCAGCGTCATCTCCCCGCGAAGATCCTTAGCCAGCAGCTGAAGGAGGACACAGAGGCACTGGGCTTGGCCTGAGTAGCCCAGAGCTCCTCACAGGCTTGAGTGTGGCATCTAAGACCCCACGCTCAGCCCTGCCCAGCAGCCCCAGGGGCCATCAGGAAGAGTCTAGGGTGCCAGTCTGCCTTGGGACTTGAGGCTCCCAGAGAGAGTGGGGGTCCCAGCACAGAGGCCTGCCCTCGAGCCCATGCGCACAGCCCAGTGCCACGCACCTGCTTCCTGTCATCCAGGCTCAGCCCCGGCCGGCCCAGCACATAGGACAGCTTGGCCAGGGCGGCCTCTGACGTCATGTCGAGGCCTGAGACAATGCCAGTGCCCACTGCAGCCTGCAGGGAGGGAGGGGACGGGTCGCCGGGGCTCGCCCAGCCCACCATGGACACACGCTCCCTCCTGGAGGTGCCCCCGCACCTGTTCCCCACCCTCACCAAGCCTGCTGCATAGCCCGGGGTCACAGTGCCCTGCAGGCAGTGGGTGCAGTTGACAATGATCAGGCCACGCTCGGCTGCCGCCCGCAGCTCCTGCAGCAGGTCGGGCTTGGTGGGCCCGTTGCCGGAACCGAAGGTCTCCATGACTACACCCTTGAGAGGGGGTCGCAGGAAGGCCCGGACCTGTGGGAGGCTTTGCTTTCTGTGCCTGCCCCATGCGTGCCTGGTGCGATCTGGGAGGGGCTGCATGCAGCCCAGGCACAGTGCAGCCAGGCTCCCCTGACCAGCCACTCATTCCCGTGAGGCAGGCAGGACTCAGCACCGCGGGAACATGTTGGAGTGTCTGGATGAGGAGACAGCCTGCTCTGTCCCTCCCACAGCAGGGTTACTGGGTTGGCACTGGCCAGAGGCTTCCCGAGGCTGCATCCACTGGACACCTAGTGCTGGGCTTTGGGGTCCTGGCCTCTCAGAAAACGGGGCACAGCTTGAGTCCCTGGGCAGACTGGGAGGAGAGCAGGCCCATGGCCCCACACTCAGAGGACACAGGTAGTACCAGCCATGCGGCAGGGGCACCCCACCACTGGGGTGTCGAGGAGGAGGAGGCGCAGAGGTGGGGCCACCCTGCCCACGCTGGATCCCAAGCAGGGCTGACCAGACCTGGCAGCCACGGGGGCGTGGGAGTCCTGGTGCTCCCTGAGGTGCAGGGCGGGGCAGCCTACCAGGGAGGCAGGGATGCCGGGGTAGAGGCGCAGCAACCCCACGTCACGCTCCATGCTGCTGTGCACCACCAGTGGGCCCTTCCAGATGACCTTCCGCACCAGCTCCCGGGAGACTGAGGAGAGCGGCTGGTGTGGGAAGCGAACCCACCAGCCCAGGTGGGAGCTGTGCTGGCCCAGGGAGAGAGACCCACAGCCATGCATGGTGATGCAGGTGGCCGGCCAGGTGGCAATGACCTGGATAGGGTGAGGAGGACCCACCGGCCAGGCCGCACGGAGGGTTCGGGGAGGAAACGGCCTTCTGGGCAGATGGAATGGCAGCGGCAAAGGCTGACCTGCATGGCTAAAGGCAAGCGGTCTGCTGTGCTAGGCCCCAGTCCCCCACCTCTCAGCCTCATCTGCCCCCAAAGGGGCACCTACTTCGCCCACTGCCCACTGAGGCAATGAAGGGAGGAAGACTCTCACATTGCCCTCGCCTTTAGGAAAGGAAGCCTCCATCGATCGACCCAGTAGTCGAGGCCCGGTGCCCATCCCCCTCCCTGTGCCCTGGGGGTGGCAGTGCATCCCAGCCTGCAGAAGGTAGCAAGGGGCAGGCACTCTGGGTCAGCGCCCTGATCCTGGCTGTGCTGAGGACCTCTGAGCTCAGCGTGCCCTCAGTCGAGGCCACCAGCCACAGACAGCCAGACCCCGGGCCCCTGGAGCTGTGCCCACAGCAGCCTGCAGCCCGACAGGGGCAGGACACTGACCCCTACACTGTATGGCACCAAGGGGACCCTTCAGTCCAGCCCAGGCCAGGGAGGAGCAGGGTCCCCCCGAGGTTCACTGGAGTCAGGATCAGGGCCAGGAGGAGATCCTGGGCTCCAGGACCCCTGCCCCTGGAAGATGAAAGCCCACCTGCCTCTGGCATTCTGAGCAGAGTAGTACATAGGGGCCCTCGATGAATAGAGAACAAGAGGCTATTCTGATGCCGGGCAGGCCTCCAGCAGCCCCACACAGTGGAGGGAGAGACTGTAGGGACCTTTGAGGGGTTTGCATGGCAGATGGGGGGATGGGGGCTTCTGCCATCCCCAAAGAGCCGGTGCCTACAGCAAGGGAGCCTGCAGGAGCAGGAGCAGGGCGAGCGGCAGCACACACTGGCCTGTCTGGGAGGTAAGTGGCTCCCCAGTAGCAAGGGGGCGCTAGGCTCTACGTTTGGTGGTGACACAGCCTAAGGCCCCACCGCAGTGTCCCCAAAAACTTCCCCTTCCCCAGCTCCGCCACTCAGGCCCCACTGAGCTTAGGTGTGAGGATGTGACTACTTGCCCCACACTGGGCACCTCGGGCTTCCCCTCTTCCTAGAAGGTGGGCAGAGACAGTGGGGAGCTCACTGCTTCCCCAAAGGATTTTGGGAGGGTGGGCCCTGGCTCAGCCCCTCCGCCCTCCTCAGGGCCCCAGCAGCCACACCCTGGGCAGAGTCTGGGGTTTCTCAGCAGCATCAGAACCAGCCAGGCCGGCTGGCAGCAGGGTGGGCGGGGCATGGGTTCCCAGGCACCAGCAGAGCAAGGTGGGGACAATGGGCTCTGGTGACAGCTGCGTCCCTCACAAGCCAGCCGGGGGAAGCCGCCCTGTTGGGTGGGGCCCAAGGGGCTGGCCCTGCATGAGGCAGAAGCCTGGGGTCCAGAGCTTGGCCTCTCGGCTGAGGTGCAGCTCAGTGCCCATGGCCGGCCCTGGGCCGCGCCACACCTGAGCTGCTGCTCCGCCCCATGCAGCACCAGCACCCAGGGCCCTGGCTGTGGACATGAGTCAGGCACATCCTCTCGGAGGAGTTGGGGAAAGGGAGTGTAGGTGAGAGCCCCGGGGACAGGAGCAGGGCTCCGTGCAGCCTCCCAGTGCCTGGGCTGCTGCCCAGCCAGTCAAACAAGAACCCTGCTCAGGCTCAGAGGAGCAGCCCGCCCTGAATGAAAGCCAGCAAACCAGGCCCTTGGCAGGAAGCAGAGAGACACAGGCGGGGCTGGGGCCCCCTCACGGCATGGGAGTGCTTCACCCTCAGGAGAGCAGCCATTGAAGACCATGAGAGGGGCAGGAGGGGCAGGCTGGCCTCCCCAGGGAAGCCTCAGGCCTGGTCACCAAGAGTGCAACAAGAGCCACTGTGGCCATGGATGGACAGCCAGGCTGGGGCCATGTGGCAGGCAGACTCACTCCAGCGCCTGCGACTCTGCGCCGTTCAGCCCAGCCTGCCCACCCTGCTCCGGAGCCCCTCGTGCCCTGGGCACAGACACCCTGCAGCGGCAGCCCTCACTCCCCAGCTGCTTACCCATGACGTCTGCACCCACAGTGGCCAGCGGAGGCAGGTTGGGGGAGCAGAAGGCCCCAAACCTCCGGGTGTCCACTTTGGTTGCCCGGTTGCCCCGAAACAGCTGATTCTGGAAGAACAGGCAGACCTGTGGGAGGAGGGAAACATCCGAAGTCTGTGACACTCGTGTGACACATGTGATGTCTCAGGAAGCAGATACCAGGCCAACAGCAGTGTCCTGGGCAGCGACTTGGCAGCTGTCTTGTTGCTTTATCAACCTTGCAAAGTTCTGTTTTGGGGGGGATTGAACCCTGGGCCTTCACCCTGAGCTGCACCCCTAGCCCTTTTATATTTTTTATTTTGGACAGTCTTGCTAAATTGCCCATGCTGGACTCAAACTTGCAGTCCTCCTGCCTCAGCCTCCCACAATGCTGGGAGGACAGGCCTGCACCACTGCCCCCAGCTCCAAGGTTTTTGCCAGTGACCATGTATTAGTTGTAAGGCAAGCCATAAACCTGATGGGACCCCCATCTGAGGTCCTGAATGCCACACCCACAAGTCCTGGGCTCTGAGGAGCACACCCCACCACATCACGTGGCCCCACCCAGGCAGCCGGGCACCTCAGGGATGATGTACTGGCCGGCCATGAGCAGCGCCCCCAGCAGGTTCTCCCGGCCGTCACTCCACAGCGCATGGATGGGCACCTGGGGAGAGGCACAGCGGCACAGGCAGGACAGAGAGGCAGGGTCTGCAAGGAGGGGAGTCCACCCACCAGGCCAACAGGGCCCCTGAGCTGGGCACCCAAACCCACCCGCTTTGCCCCATGCAGGGCAAGTGCCCAGCCCAACCCCCTTGCCACCATAATGGGCTCTTGAGAAGCCCCATGCAGGCCAGAGGGACCCCAGTTCAGGCTCCAGCAGGCCCTGTGTCAGGGGGTATCGTGTGCTAGGCAGCACTGGTGGGAAGGGAGCGTGATAGGAAGAAAGAAGAGAAGAACAAAGGCAGAGCGGTGGCCGGGGACTCCCTGACACCAGCTGTGGGCAGCGAACGTGAGGTCCCACAGAGGAGGAGGCTGGACACCAGCAGGGTGGCACCAGGAGGCACAAAGGGCGTCCACGAGACCTGCTGGGCAGCACACAACGGGAGCTGCCATGGGAGCTGCTCAGTTGCAGCAGGGAGTGAGAAGTTCAGGTCCTGCCTTGGCCCTGTGCTATGGCCTCGGGATGCCCCGGCCTTGGGTTACCTGGGCACCAGTGAGGATGACAGGTTTGTGCAGGTTTTCCAGCACAAAGGACAGCACGGAGGCAGCAAAAGCCATGGTGTCGGTGCCGTGGATGACCACGAAGCCGTGGTGCTGTTCGTAGTGTCTCTGCGGGAGGGGGGTGCTCAGGAGTGGCGGTCACAGAGCCCAGTGCAGACAGAGGCCCTGCCTGCACCCCCGCGGCCAGCTCAGGGCCTAGGGGCTCTTGACCCCCAGACTGGAAGCCAGCACCTCCAGGCAAGGCTGGTCATCAGAGGACTCCCCAGAGACCCCAAGGAGGCCCCACTGCCTCTAGGGAAGTGGGGGTGGTAGAGGTGGGAGCCTCGCCATCCAGGTGGGAGGGCAGCGTGGACATGGCACAAGGCACGTGGTCTGGGAGGGTGCATGGAAGTGGACCTGGGCATCACCAAGCATGATGTCCCCTGGCCACCACCTCCTAGCAGGCCTAGGTTATGGATGCCAGGGGCACAGGGACCTCTCCCACTCCAGGACCTGCTGGCCTCACCAGCCTAGGAACCACGAAGGAGCAGTGCGCCCTCTGGTGGCCATGAGAGGACACAGCTGTAGGCTGAGAAGGCCATGCTGAGGTGGCCTGGACTCTGCCACAGGGACGCAGGATATCCCCCAGACCCCAGTGAGCAGCCAGGCCTGGTCCCAAAGGAGCGGGTCCTAGACCAGCTTGACCCAGACCAGACAGGTGACTGGCTGCCCCATTCCCAGAATGGAGGCATACCCTGGGTCACAGATTGTCCCAGGTGGGTCACAGCTGGGGTTAGAGACCAGCATGCGCCTGACCAGGGCTGGCCAGGGAAGCAGGAGTCTGAGGTTGTAGGAATTGAATTCAATGGTGCTTTACCACTGAGCTACATTCCCAGGTCTTTGTATCTTTTGAGACAGGGTCTCACTAAGGTGCCTATGCTAGTCTTGAACCTGTGATCCTCCTGACTTAGCCTTCTGAATAGTAGAGAGAAGAGATTAAGGGGCTGAGGTGGTGGAGGAGGGAGCTGGGACTGGGAAGGCAGAGAACAGAGAGAAAAAGCACTGCAGGGGCAGCCTGGCCATGGCACCCAGTGCTGCCAACTGCTAGGCCCTGAGTGGATTCTTCAGCCTTAAATCCACTAAGACAACAATGCAGCTGGGTTGGAGGGAGAGGCCAGGCACAGAGTCAGCCAGTCCTCAGGCAGCAGTGCATACCCTGTCCCACACAGATCAGGCCAAAAGAGGTCGGGCTGCCCAACAGGGATCCCAGCCCGCACCAGGCGGGGCCTGCCAGTTCCAGGGACTGGTCTTGGTGGGGCAAACCCCTCTTCACCTGCAGAAAATGGCCTCAGCCCCGCCCACAGCCTGCCCACTGTCCACCCTACCTCTATGGTCTGGGCAATCTGAACCCACTCAGTGATGGTCATGTCGCTGGAGTCCAGGAGGGGCTGGTGCTCCAGCACTGTGTAGATGACCCTCTGGCCAGGGCTGGCAGGGCTGCAGGGGCAGAATGCAGGCTCCTGTCTGGCCCTCCTCACCCGAGCTTCCCTGGGCCAGCGGGACTCTGACACAGCAGGCTCTCAGCACCTGATCACAGGGCATGTCTCCAGGAGGGGAGGCGATATGAGCCAGGACAGCTGTCCCTGAGCAGCGTCAGTTTCTGCACCCCAGAGGAGGCTGTCTCAGGGAGATCCTCAGTGACAAGGACAACTCCTAGCCTGCCTCCCACCTGAGGGCCACAGGCCAGCACCACAACACGGAGGAGCAGCCTGGCCTCTGGGGTGGACTCCGTCCCACAGGGGTCCTTCACCATGCTGGCTGAAGCTGTCACCCTGTCCCCGGGGAATAAGCAGAGGGAGAGGGAAGTGCACAGGCCTGGCTGGGGAGGCTGCCGAGGTCACCGCCACAGCCCTGAGGAAGCAGTACCCACACCTCCACCCCTGGCGCTGGGCACCTCAGCACCTGCCCACCCAGACCTGGCCCCTCCGCCCCACTCACGGCAGCACCAGGGTATCATCTGGGAGGCCCAGGGCCCGGGCATGCGCCTCGTCGTGGAACATGGGCAGCGTCCGCAGCACAGCCGCCAGGCCTTGGCTGGGGACCAGCACTGTGGGTGACACAGGAGTGTGTGGCCAGGGCGGGATCGGAGCACCCGCATCCCCACTGGGTGCTGCCCAGGCCTGGCGACCCTCAGGAGGTCAGCAGCTGTCCTGGGTCTCGAAGCCACGGCTTCCTCCCTGGAGTGATGCCGAGTGTTGTCTCCAAGCCAGACAGCCTGCCCACCCTGCCCACACCCCACCTCCAGGACCACCCATGCTTTGGGCCACGCCACATGAGCCCACCTTCTATACCCCAGGGCCACAGTGCATCTCAGGTGCTGCCCGCAGGTTCTGCCCCACTTCTCACTGGCAGGAGCTTCAAGGCCCAGCTCTGGGCACTGCCTAGGAAGCCTTCCCTGCCGGCGGAGGTGACAGTGCCGGCTGCATCCCTGGGTAGCTGGGAGTCACCATGGCCTCACTGAGAAGAGGAAACTCGTGCCAGACTTAGGAGCTGGCCTTGCTGCCCCAGCCTCGGTTTCCCTGGCCTCTGTAAACATCACCTTTCTCCTGGTTGGCCAGACTCTGGATTCACACAGCACCCCTTTCTACCTCCCCGATGCAGGGAGTCACGAGCCTGGCAGGAGGGCAGTGTTTCCTACTCACTCTCTCACCTTCCACACCTCTACCATCTCCCTCTGCCAAGCCGCTCCCTTGCCCTCCAGACGGTCACAGGCCTGGGGGACTGTGGGTGTTTGGGGCACTGTTTCCTCCACCAGAGAGAGACCCCAGAGAGGAGAATCTGAGACACCTGGCCCTGACACCCTGAGGACCCACAGGCCTCTGCTAGGAGCAGATGACATAAGTTGTCCATCCCGTGAGCAGGCCTGGGGAGCACATGGGGAGGCCAGAGCGGGACATGGCCTGCCTCCACCTTCAGGAGCCACCTACCACCCAGCAACTGGGGCCCATGTTCTTGCCCTATGTGTGGTGGGCTGAAAATGCACCTACAACCCAACCCCAGGACTGCAGATGTTTCCTTTCATGGCAAAGCTGATAGAGCTGTGCTTACACCAAGGAAAACGAAGAGATGCTCCGGGTGGGCCCTACATGCCATGTCATGTGTCAAAAGAGGGAGCCAGAGGGAGCCTAGCAGTGCAGGCAAAGTCCTGGGCTACTGGAGCGGGCCTGGAAGATGGAGGGGTGTGGCCACAAGGCCAGGCCACCAGAAAGGGGTGCAGCCCTGCCCACACCCCACTTGGCCTCCAGAGCAGAGAGAACGGATTCTGTGGCATTCAGCCACTCAGCACCTGGGAATTTGTTGCTGCAGCCACAGGAACTAAAATGCAAACTTTCCCTTCCAGGTCCCATCTCCGCAGGGTGTGTGCAGAAACATGGGGCGTGCTCACCAGGAAGGTGAGGGGGTCTCTGACTTGGTGTGGAGGACACTCACACCAGGTAAACACCTCTGTCCATCACCAGGCTATTCCGGCTGCGTCCAGGGACGTGGTGTGGAAGGGGCAGCCAGAGGGGCCCAGGCCCCGGCACCCCACCAGAGAGTCAGAGGAGCCGAGCACTCCTTGCATGGCTTCTGTCTGGGCAGACCACTGCCAATGGGCCCTTCAGTGAGAGCCAGGAAGCACATCAGGCAAGAGCTAGGAAACCACCCTGGAAACGGCAGGGACCCTGGGCAAGGCTGTGCCATGGAACCCACAAGGCCCACTTTAACTCATAATTTCTTTCAGTCATAGGCAAATACGAGCTTCACACCCAGCTTTGCTTCAACGATTGTATCACTTTTCTTCTGAGGAAGCCCCAGCAGGCAGGTGACAGCCCTAAGGAGAAAGCCTGGCTGTGTCCCAGGGTGCTGCCTGGTGGGGGTTTGTCCTTAGGACAGTGGTCCCTGTGGAATGACCCAAGGCAAGCTTGGGATGAGCAATGTGAGCTGAGCCCGAGGAGTCACCATCAGGTGGGAATCCCAGGCACTGCAGGTGCCACATGCAGTGACCAAGAAGCCACAGGCACTGCTCCAGCTGAGGCGTTTGGCTGCAGGGGCCATAAGCAGGAACACGGCCTGGACTGCCTTGCCCAGAAGCTGTGTCCCTGAAGCCTCTGCTTCAAGGAGCCAGTTCCCAAGGTGCCACACGGGTGTCACAGCAGTCACACAAGTTCCTCCCGAGCCTGTGTGGCCTCAGATGTAGGCCTGGGCCTCAGCTTCCCTCCCCTGATCTGCAACAACTTTGCTGAACTCCTAGAGGAAGCCAAGGGGTGAGGCCTGCTGCCTTCCCTGAACTTTGGCAGGGCTTGGTCATGCACTGCGTGATGCCCTGCAGGCCCTGCTTACCCTTGGGCACAGAAACTGTTACAACAGCGACAATCCAAACAGTTTTGCCATGGCTGAAGCCATGGCTCCCAATCACTGCTCCTTACTGGCAGCCAGCGCCCAGGTCAGCAGGGTGAGCTAGTTAATTATTGGTGCTTGTGGGGTGGCAACTCCTGCACAGGTGGGGCCTGCAGCCCTGGCTCAAGGAGCCCCCACAGGGCACAGAAAGGCTGGAGTTCATCTGAGAGCCTCAGGGCTGGAACCCCAGCCCCCAGGCCTGGGCCTTCTGTCACTCTCAACCTCTCTGACCTGTGGGTACAACCCTTATTTCTGGAAGTCTCTTTCTATAACACATTTTCAGGTACAAAGGTCAGGGTGCTGGGTCCCCATCTGCTTTGTCCCCAAAACACCTCACTCAGCTGCACATGAAGGATCAGTGTGTGGGCTGCTTCTCGGAGGCTAGCAGGGGTCAGACCTCAAGCCTCTTCAGCCCTTGATCTCTGGGGGCTAAACCCTCGGCTCCCTAAGGCCTTTCCAAAGCAGACAAGGTTGGCACTGCCAACGGCCTGGGGCAGGCTCTGTCTGGAAGCAGCTGGACTAGGGACCAGGACCCAGCACAGAGCCAGGGCCCGGTGACCTGCTAGCCAGTGGCACAGGCTGGTTGCCCTGTGAGCTCCTGGTGGGGTGACAGCCACCCAGGGCAGAGGCCTCTGGGCACAGGTGATGCCTGCTGAGCTCCATCTCTCGCTGGGCCCTGAAGACCAGGGCTCCGAGCACAGCTCCTGGGAATCTCTGTGGAAGTGGATACCCACCCATCCTTTAGGAGCCGAAGTGAGCTTGCCTTGTAGATTCAGGGCTTCACAGCCGCCTGCAGGAACATGGCACTCATGTGTGAGAGCCCATGACCACGGGGCCAGCACCAACACATGTGCCCGTGCAGGTGGGACCTTGGACAGTGTCCCTTGTCCCTCAACATGGACCACTACAGAACCACTTGCTGAGCCCAACAGAAGTACAGCTGGCCACAGGCCAAGCTGGAGGGCAGCAGCAAGAGGGTGGGAGAGACTCCAGCCACAGTGCTCCCTCCCACAGCCTCCTCTCTGCTCCCGCCCAGGCCACTCCTGCGTTGGTCCTGAGTCCCCAGAGGAGCCTCTCCCAGCAGCCCCAGCCCATCTAGACCCACACACACTCGCCGTGGCCCCGCTGGCACCCACTGCACCAAGCCCAGAGGTGGAAGCTGAGATGGGCTCCTTGGCATGTCCTACTTTTAATGTCAGCCTGTTCTCTTGTGAGGGCCACTCAGAAGCCCTGTGAGCCTGCCCACAGCCACATCCCTGATGCCTGTGCCCCTGCAGGACAGGCCCAGCCGGGCCTGCGTCCCCACGCGTGGCTGATGCAGACCAAATCCGCAGGAAGACTGAGAAGCCGTCCCCGGAGCCACTGAGAAAATGAGGGCCATCGGAGTAGCCGCCCCTGTGGAAAGCATGGCCACAGGCAGGTCTGCCAGGTACCAAGGCCACGGAGGAGGGTAGGGAGGGGCAGAGATGGAGAAGGGGCTGCAGAACTGGTCCTGAGGGCCTTGGCCAGGCCCAGGGAGGACAGGAAGGGCGGGAGCTGGGCTCAGGTCCGCCACGGAGGACGCACCAGGGAAAGGCACCACTCTCTCAGCTGCGGTGGGCATGCGCTGCTGCCCAGGGTTGGATGGAGAGACCAGGGCTTGGGATGGGATAGAGGGAAGTTGGGAGAGCAGGGGTGCCAACTGAGGGAGAGGGTCCTTCCCAGGGTCTCTGGGGAGGCCCAGGGCGAGGTCTACAGAGAGGAGCTTGGGCCCCTGCAGGACCAGAAGGGCTCCCAGGAGTGGCCCGCGGCTACTCACCACCGCCCTCGCTCCGCATGCCAATGGTGCCGCCGGTGTAAAGGACCAGCAGCTGCCGCTCGGGCCCAGGGGCGCGCGCCATGCCGGCCTGCAGATCAGGAAGCAGCCTGGGCGGGGCCTATCCGGGCCAATCTGTCCCGGGGCAGGAAGAGGGGGTCAGGACCGGTGGGTGGCTGGGAGGGGCGCGCTCATCCGGGGGCGGGGCGGAGGCGGAAGCGTGCAAGGGTCACTTTGGCTCCTAGTTTCAGAGGTTCCCATTCCTGTGGTCCGGCCCATTGTTCTGGGCCTGTGTGGAAATAGAACATCATGGCATGGGCACCTGGCAAAGCCAAGCTGCTCACCTCATAGAGGCCAGGAAGCTAAGAGAGAGAGGGGCTGGGGTCCCAGGGTCCCCTCCAAGGGGACACACCCTGGGGACCAACTTCCTCCCATCCCTTCATGCACCCCAACAGAGCTGACCCTGCAATTTGTGCCAGGCCTAAGCCAGAACTGCTCTCCTGTCTGGCCAAAGAGAGCAGCTGGCTACAGGGGATGCTCTTCCCTGACTGACTGAAAAACCCAGGGCAGGAATGGGTTCTTGGGCCTGCAGCCCTATCTTCTCCCCTCCCCAGCCCATGTTTTTGCACTCGGTTAAGACCTGAAACTGCAGCCCCAGGGCCTGCTGACTCTGAGACCCCAGGGCCTGCAGTGGGTGCACAGCAGCTCTGCCAGTGACTCCATGAAAACGCCAGTCTGAGAACTACTGGTCTAACCCAAGGGCCACCTAACTATGGAAAACGTGGCCTCTTACTGTGAATAAAGTTGAATCAGAACAGCTATCCCTGCTCCTTTGGGGAACCAGGAGTCAGGCAGTGGAAAGGGCCTGGCAGGGCTCCCAGCAGGGGGGCGCAAGGAAGCAATGAAGGGAAAAGCAAGCAGGGTGCAGAACACCCCACACTCACATGGGTCCTCACCCTTCTCCTCTGCCTTCTCACAGGTCATCAGCAGCAGAGAAAACCTGGCTGTTTCACGCCCTAAGGAAAGACTCCTGAAGTGCAGGGCTTCCACGTGTCTGTCCAGGCCACACATGGGGCCCCTTCCCACAGCCGGTCAACGCAGCTGGACGGAAGGCAGCCCTGACCAGTCCCGGGTGGTGGATGGAAGGTTGTCCAGGGCCAGTCCTTGAAAACAAGCCAAGGTCCTTGGAGCCAGGGCTTCTTCAACTCTCGCAAGCTTCTTTTGCCACCTACTCTGCCCGACCTCTCTAGTGCCTACCTGAGGCAAAGCTGCCTGTGAGTGTGGATTCCACAGATGCTCACAGTCCCCTTGGCAGGTGAGGGAACTGAGGCACAGAGACCCCAGCAGTGAGTGGCTGGCCATTCCTGGAGCACAGGATGGCTGCTGGCTCCTGAATCTGTGACCCAACTGCTCACCGCTGGGAGGACTCAGGTCAGCAGGGTACAGGCACGTGAAGGGAGGCCTGCGAGGCCTGGCTCTGAGGCACACTAGGAGCCTGGTGAGCAGTGGCTCTGGGGAAAGGGGCCTCCTGAGTTCTGTGCAGCAGAGGCCTCAGCACCACTGCTCTGGGTGCCTGGAGGCGCAGGGTGGGTGGCACCATGCTGAGAAAGTCAGGGAGAGCTCTGCAGATCTGGGCCCTCCACCCATGGCGGGGAGCACAGCCACCTGGCTTGCCTTGTGCACAGGACTTCAGGGCATGTGGATCTGTCCCACTGAAGCAGGACAGAAGAAACAAAAGCCAGAAAGGAGACAAGGAAATCATAACTGAAGATTGTACTTTTAAGAAGACTGCAGCTTCCAGGACCCAGTGAAGTTTCCAAGGCCATCCACCTTGGCACTCCTTTGGGTAAATTTAAGCTCCTGCCCTCCGACCCATCACACCCCAGAGTCCTCAGGAATGCCAAGTCCACATGGCCTTCATTGTGAAGAGCAGGAGGGTCCTGAGATAAAACAGCAGGTTGCGCGAATCCAGCACCTGCTCCTCCCAAGATTGCCCATACCTGCAGAGCGGGCCAGTGCCCTGGGGTGGGCACCCGGCTCCCAGGTTTCTATCCCTTCCAGAGCAGCACAGCTGTCCCCACCCCAGGAAACAGCTCTCTGGATTCTCTGAGCCCCTCACTGCAGTTTGTTTTTGTTTTTGAGACTGGATCTTGCTTTGCAGCTCAGGCTGGCCCTGAACTCACTATGTAGCTGAAAGGGAATAGTGCCACTCAACAACTAGGCCACACACACCGAAGTCCGATTGGAGATTTTATTCAAGAGAGCAGAATGGCGGGGGGGAACTGGCTCATTTATTAAGGCCAAGAGCCAATGACTTCCCTATTAGGGTGGGACAGGCTATTCTTATCCTACCACAAGCCATGTTGCTCTGAAATTCGCACCTTGCAGAAGCTCTAAGTGTCAGTTCTATATGCTGACATGATCTTGGGGGAAAGGAAATTTAACACAGGGATTTGAGGGTAGAAGAACCCAGAAGTCCACAAAATACTTTAACATGATAAATTTCCTAACATTAGCCCAGGTTGGCCTTGAATTCATGGCGACCCTCCTGCCTCTGCCTCCCGAGTGCTGGGATTACAGGCATGTGTCACCATGCTCACTTCACCGTACTCTTGAGTGGTCACAAATCTCTGCCTGCTGAACCCTCCATGCTTCTTCCTGACGCGTCCTGAAAACTCTTTCCTCAGCAGGAGTCAGCGAGCCTGCGGACTTCTGCCAATAGGAGGGTTGGTTCCTCATTGCAGCCTGGGGACCTCCTCAGACCGGCCCCAGGGACACCACAACATGACAGCACATGGCCACTGATCCAGATGGGTCGGTCACTAGACAGGAGCTTCCTTGGAAGGTCAGTGTGGTCTCAGCTGAGGCAAGAGAAGCCCCCAGAGACCACAACAGCTGAAGGTTGTTGTCCAGGAGTGGCTCCAGCAGCAGAAGGGAGCACCCATCACTTCCAGGGGCTCCAAGCACATCACAGTGTCTGCCACACCACGAAGTGGAGGCCAGAAGTCTTCTCAGTGAGGTGCTAGGGCAGCAAGAGGTTCACACAGGAAAAAATAAACTCTGGCCCTCATCTCACCAGACACAGATGTGAACTTGAGGTGAGTCAAGCCCAAAGAGAGAATGCTAAGGCTGTCAGGGCTCCAGGAGAAAGCGTAGAAGAGTGTCCTTGTGGCTTGTGTAGACAAAGATTGCTTAGTTATGCTAGGCAGTGCCATGAAACAAAACAGTCAACATAACAGACTGTCACAACCCCAAACTTCTGCTCACCGTTAAAAAAGGAATAGACCATAGAGGAAAACTAACTCAAAATGGACTGAAGATGCTGGGCGTGGTGGTGCGTACCTGTGATGACAGCACTTGGGAGATGGAGGCCAGACAGTTGCGGGTTAGAGACCAACCTTGGCTACAACAACAAGAAAAAAATGTTAAAGATTAAATGTGAGACCTAAATAGCATCGTTACATGGAACTTCATAGGTATTTCTACTTCAGATATGACAAGAAAACCACAGGAAAAAAGCAAAAACTACACACAACTTAACCTGTGTGCACCTAAGGACACAATCAACAGAGTGAAATGGGCAAACTACAGATGGGAGGACATATTTGCAAATCATTTACTATTTGATAAGTGGTGAACACCCAGAATACAGGAGGGATTCCCATAACTCAACACAAAATCAACTGAATTAAAAATAGGCAAAGGACTATGTCTCCAAAGATGATGTACAAATGGCTAATAAGCTCAAGAAGAAATATACATTAGCAATTATTGGGGAACTGCAAATCAAAACCACAGTGAGATACCACCTCACACCTTTAAAAAACAGAAAAGTGTTTCTGAGGATATGAAGAATTTGGAACCCTTGTGCACTGTTGGTGGAATCGTGCAGTTGCACACTCACCATGGGGAAAGCTTGGAGGTTCTTAAAAAAATTAAGATTAGAAAAAAAATTAAGATTAGAACTGCCATAGGATCCAGCAATCCCATTTTAGTATATGTCCAAATGAACAGAAGCAGAGTTTCAAGAAGACATTTGCACACTCATTTTCATGGCGGCATTGCTCATGACGGCTAAGAGCTCCTGGAAGCACCCCAAATGTCCGTGCGTATATGAATGGGTAATGGAGCACACACACTGGAAGGAAAGAAACTCTGTCACTGCCAGATGAGCCTTGAGAACATTATGCTGAGTGACATAACCAGTCCCGAAAGCGAAGGGGTGTGATCCCACTTGTGTTGAGATATCTGGGCACTATGGTCTGGACATGTCCTCCCAAACTGACGTGTTGGAAACTTAACCCCAATGTAACAGTGGGGGGAAGGAGGGCCTTTGGAGAGGGGACATGAGGGATCCACTCACGCTCAAGGTGCCATGTTGGATACACGACCTGGCCGGCACCAGACACCACACAATGGCGACCTGACTTCAAACTTCCCAGTGTCTTTGAGAAATAAATTTCTGTTCTTATAAATCATTGTGGCTCAGGTACTCTGTTAAAGCAGCACAGAATGGTCTAAGACACTAAAGTAGTTGAATTCATAGAGTTTAGAATATGGTGGTCAACGGGACAGAGAAGAGGAGGGGATAAAGGGACATAGTTTAATGGGGGCATTTCCAGATTTGCAAGATGAAAAATTTCTGAGGATCTCTTTCATACAATATGAATATACTCAACACCACTGAACTGTAGACTTAAAAATAGTTAAGATGGTAAATTTTATGTTAGGTAGTTGTTACCACAATAAAAGGTGTGGATAGGCAAAGACAGAGTAAACGAAAATCCACCAAGCATGTATCTCAAGACTTTAATTCAGAACAAATAACTCATTACAATTCATGAATAAAAATAAAAACAAGACCCCCAAATGAGGCACATGATTTAGACAGATACAAATATCATATGGATAAATTTAAAAGATTATTAACTAGTAAAAGGCAATGAACTACCAAGAAGGAGGAGAAGAATCCTAAAGAATACCAGACAAAATATAAACTACTACTACACCTAGGACTAATGGTGACCACCCATGGCCCACCCCCCACACCTCCACCAGGTCAAGGTCAGGCCTTGACACAGAGAGGGAGTGGGGGGAGGAAGAGGGGAGAAAGGGGAGGGAGAGAGAAGGCACAGTCACTGAACAGCTGAGG